CTGCTGTTCACGTGAAAATGAAACCTTGAGACAATACCCCTGAATAATCAGAGACTCTCACTTGTAAAGACAAAATTTCCGACAAAATATTAGCGAATTGTAGCCCTTATTTTACTGCCTTACAATATATCAATAATCTTGAAACTAAGAGGTCATATAAAAGGACAGTTTATCTCAAGAGTCTTAAATTTTCTAAAAAAATTATCGAGCGGTTTAACAATTATTCGCTAATTTGTTAAAGTAGACCGAAATGTTTACATTACCGCTATAAGAGCGCCTCGATACATAATAATCAAATCCTTCTTTCTAGCAATCGGCTGGAGGTATCTCCATGATCTTTCACACACGTTTTTAAAAAGATTGAAACTTCTATGAGGTGAAATTGTATGTCAAAAGCGCTTCGTTTAGTACAGATAACAGTGGAACATCAAGGTTGTCCATTTTTTACCGTATTTCTAACCATAAAAACTTCTTCCCAAAATATCTCGATAACGCTCTTACAGATTTCGCTTAAACTTCACTAACATCGAGACGGCTATTGTAGGAAAAAGCTCCAGTAAACGATTTTGGAAGAACAGTTCCCAGTGCCGAGAAATACTGTTGCAAGTAAAATAGGTAATGGCGTCATTTCGTTGCCACGACAACTACGATGTCACTGCAACCCTGATCATAACAAAGTTTCATCTTTATCTACTACAACTGTGGTGTTAATTTTTCCAAATCTTTGTTTTTAGCGACGTAGTTTACGCTCAAACGTGAGAGGTATTCACTCAAAAAAACTGTATCGAGCCACCTTAAAGAGAGCGTATGATTCAGTGGATCATGGCTGGTTAAATGGGGTAATGTTGCACAGGTTTCCTACCCAGATGTACAGGGTTATCGCTAAGCTTTGCAGGAGTTGGAACACTAGGGTCTTGGTTGTCACAAGGAAATGGAGGGAAAAATCCAGACCGATAAGATCCTGTTAAGAGTTGCCCCAAGGAGACTTGCTTTGCCCGAGACTGTTTACTGTATGAAGATAAGTGCTAACGAGGGATACAGGTTGTCCAAACCCATCAGTTTTAATTTTACTGACCTCCTATATATTGATGCCCTATATATTTCCGCTGTATCTGAGAGTAAACTCAACTGGGGAATGAACATGGTCAAACGACTATGGAAGATCAAGTGTACAGTGGTTCGTGTGAGAAGAGGAGTGCACGTGAGACATAACTCGGGATGTCATTGGATGAGGCGGCCAGAATACCAAGTCTTGATGACGGGAAGCAGTAAAAGTTCCTAGGCGTGCTTGATGGTGTGATGCAGGAGGATAAACTGTTCTTGTATTGCGCTGCCAAGAAGTACCTGCGACGGATGTCGGTTATCTGGACAAACCCTTTAATTGTCCGACCAAAATCGTGTGACCGCGTCAAACTAGTTTTCCCTGCAGGTGCTTGGTCATCATATGTGGACGCAGCACTGGCTGATAATGGATATACAGGAGATCGACAGAAAAGCTCAAAAGATTGTTATTGAAAACGGGGGAAGGTAACCCTGTGGCTCCAACGACGAAATGGAACGAAGGTCCATGGTTAAAGAAGGGTTTAGGTTACGGAGCTGAGGAGCTTGGTGTGGAGCTTAATTTCGAGCGCCTGGAGACGGAACTGCGAAAGTACCAAGTAGAGAGGCTAGAGGAGGAAGTGAGAAATCAGAGATGGCAGGGAAGTCTAGTTACAACTAGATAACAGAATGAGAAGTTGAGCGCTAATGGGTGTTTTGGTGGCTAACAGAGTGGAAGTCTTGCCTGACACACAGAATCGCCGGCATTTTTTAACTGTACGAGCAACTATTACCAACTCGGTTATATGTCAGTCAGAAGACCCATACAAGTTTAGAGGCAAAGCGTGGTGTAGGTTGTGTAATAAGGCCCCAGAAAGTGTGGCTCACACATCACATCACCGACACGACTCAGCTTTGAAGGTGCTGTTTATGAGATGCTGCAGGATCTGGGCCACATAGACCAGGCACCACCTTGGTAACCTGCGGCCAAGTTCAAGCCCGTTTACGAGTGGGTACTGGGACGTGCAAGTGTTTGCAGAGTATGAAGAGGTAATCCGAGAAAACCAACAGAGTTGCCGCTCAAATCCTCAATCACTAGTACTAAATTATTAAGTAAATATGAAAACCAATCTTAAATCTTTTCCACCTTGGACATTATGCCAGCTTTTCTTCAACTGATGTTTCATCTTTTTATTTAGGGAAAAGTCATAGGGTCATCCTCTAGTTTTCCCTTTCAAGATGTTTTATAGTTTTATTTTTCTCTTCTTGAATAAAGACATTATGTTTATGTAATTAAAAATATGTTTACTTAACCCGTAGTCTGAGGAGGCCTAACCTGTCATAAGCCTATATAGATTCTATTAGGTTTCCTTGCCAGTTTTTTTCTGCTACTTATATTATTTGTAATTTCTATTTTTGTTTGGAAAACACATAAAACAGACAAATAAAGAGCAAAAAAATAACTAAAATCGAAATGGGTTGCCCGTTTGTCAACAACAGAGAGACGAAGAGCGAAGATAAGACCTTGAAGTGGGAATTAAAACAGTAGTTTCCTGGGTACGAAGTGAAACAACGCAACATAATCATAGATGCCCTTTGTATTGGGGGAGGTTATGAAAAATGGACTTAACCATGGACGAACTTGTGGAGAGTTTATATAATTTTGGATTCTGTTTTTTTTTTTTCTAACGTTTCATTGCCTCGAGCCTTAGTTATATATTATATATATATA